TGGGCAGGTGGGCTCCAAAGGGGTAGACTGGGAAGGCATGGCTCATGAAGCCTGATTATCTGAAGTGGATCACATGTACCTGGTTGTTCTCAAGGTCCAGAGAAAGATGATATGTTGGAGTAAAGCTTGCCAAAACCAGCAGCTTCCTGTGGTCCTTACAAGAAGAAATAGGAAGGGGAATGCAACTACAGTGGGCATAGTACAGATAAGGAATACCAGTGGGAGGGTATAGTGTGGGCCTATGGCCTTTCCGGGAACTCCCTCCTCCCCAGGCTAGGGCTCCCATTTCTACCAAGTGGGCTGGAAGGTAGTGAAGGCAGGCCCAGGTTCTCGTATACCCATGAACATCCGTGTGAACTAGTCATAAGTGCAACATCTCCAGCCTTCATTTCAAAACCCTGGCAGAGTGGGCAGATGGAGACAAAAGTGAGCTGTGGGCTGGGCCTGAGCTTGGAAACAGCTGTCATTTCAGTCTGCACATGGGCATGCAGGATATCCATGTGAGCCATATGTCTTAGGGATGTGTGTGCCAAGAGGGTATATGCCTGTGTGTGGGAGTGCTTTAATGTTCCTAGGTAGGCCTCAGGAATATGCTGTGCTCTCTGGGAGCCCTGAAAAACCAAGAGAACTCTGGAACCCCACTGCCTTTTCTAGGCAACTTCTTTGAGGCCCAGGCTCTGCTCCTTGATCTATCTACCAGAGGATAAGTGGGGAATATTCTTGCCCGTTTGACCCCTATATGTCTGGTATATGTTGCTTCCCTCTAAGTCAGGTAGGGAATACTGGCCTGAGGGAGAATCCCTGAACCCAGGCCTGGCTGTGTCCCTGATTCAAGGTGGTCCCAAGGTAACCTTTGTAGAAGTTTCAGTCTTTATTATAGATTTGGAACAATTGCCTGATTCCCAAAGGTAGGTGAGGACCCAGTATCACAGAGAATTCCACAGTGGACATAGTGGCTGACCATATGGCTGGCTGAACAGTTATTATTATGAATTCCTGGGGCTGCGACCTCTTCCCTGCCCACCCTACCCACCCACCCAAATAGCTGGAATTGATCAGAAACAGGAAGGTGCTGAGCAAGGAGTTCACTGCACCAACACTGGCCAAGACCCATTATCTGAAGACCAGAGAAATTTAGTATCCGGATTAGGGTCCTAAAGTCCTGAGAACCACCAGAGCCTACAAACCCAAGCTGCCCTGAACAGAAGCAGCTCCCAGCTCCTCTGGCCTCTTGAGGAGATGGAGAGAGCAAAACAGTCATGAGTTGGCCTCACAGACTGGTCGGCTACTCCATGCAGCCAAGTTCCTCAGCTGGTGGCTGGCTGGTGGGCTGTACAGCCTGCACTGTCTCTTCTAGGCTGCTGCTGGAGAATACCACATATCGTGTGGTGGTCAGCTCTGGTGGCTCCTGCTGGTTCGCTTTGCTGTGCCAAATGCCATAGCCGAAATACACAGCGAGTCCTGCAAGGTTGAAAAGAGCCTGAGGGATAGGACCCAGCCCTCTCTGCCTTCTTTGTCCTCCCATTGTAGCACACTAGATGTCCTAGCCTTGCCCCCACTCACCAATCAGCAGCCAGATGGAGAAGCGCAGCCAGGTCAGGTAGCTCAGCTTCAACATGAGGCAGATATTGAGGAGAATGCTCAGGGCTGGAGTCAAAGGCACCAAGGGGATCTGAGGGCATAAGGACAAGGCTGAGATGGACAGAAGGAAAGAACTGCCAGCCCAGAGCCTGACTTCACAGAAATTTCATAGAGCCTCCATCTGTCTCTGGAAATTTTGGAGAGAATATACTCCCTCACCATGAGGAAAGATGAATAAAGTGAGGATGGATGGATTGGCCTCCCCAACCTCATGAGCCCTTGTTCATTATGGAATGGCAGAAAAAGAAGGGGCAAAGGGAGCTGGCGGGGGTAAGACTGAGCAGGTCCTGAATGGGGAAGGTACCTGGAAAGTGTCTTGCTGTTGCTGTTGCTGGTGAGCCCCCAGGACCAGAAGGCAAAGCAGAAACACAACACTGCTGATCAGGAGCAGCAAGATGTAGCCCCACCGTGGGAGGTGCAAGGCCGAGTCTCCGAAGACTAGCACACAGCCCAGGGCGATGGCTGAGATCACCAGGATGCTAAGTGCCCAAGTCACAGCAGCTCCAGGGTTGCATCCATCAAGGAATCCCAGGTAGGGCCTCAGGGCTGGTCGCAGCTGCCCAGGCTCAGAAATTGAGGTTTGCACAGCACCTACTAGCTGTATGTGGTCTGAGAAGGAATCATACTTCTTGGCTGCAGGGCCAGGGCTGGCTGGGCCTGGGGAGCTGTGTGGAGAAACCTTCTGAAAACGTAGAATAATGATGCTGGTGGCCACAAAGGTGTAGGCTAATAGAGTGCCAATGGATAGGAACTGGACCAGCGCCTCAAGGTCCAGCAGCAGTGCCAGGAGAGCCATAAGGACACCAAACACCAAGATGCCCACCACAGGCACCTGTGTCCGGGGGTGCACGCGGGCAAACACCTGGAAGAAGAGCCCATCTGCAGCCATGGCATAGACGATACGCGGCAGAGAGAAGAGGTTGCTGAGTAGAACGGTGTTCATGGCTGTAGCAGAGGGTAGGGTAATGGTCATCATGATAGTTAAACTATCAGGGGTCACTGTTGGGGTCTGGGGCCTAGGTGGTTCCTTGGAGACACAGGGATGAGATTGTCTGGGCTTTTAGTATGAATGTGTATGAAGTACAAGATTACCATTCCCCCACTCCAGGAATGGGGCACTCCAATTTAAGTCATAGGCCCACTGGAGAATCTGATAAAAACTGAGCCCCATTGCCCAGGAGAAGGCAATTGACATTCTATGTACAATTTGGGGGGAGGAGCCCCATAGGAGGAGTTCTTCCAACAAGCCTAGGTGAAAGCCTCCAATAATTAGCACTTTCCCAGGCCCATTTTACAACTGGTAAGACTGAGGTATGGGTGGAGATTTTATTTTCTTTTTTAAAAATATTTATTCTTAAGTTTTAGATGGACACAATATCTTCATTTTACATTTATGTGGTGCTGAGAATCGAACCCAGTGCTTCGTGCATGCTAGGCAAGCACTCTACTACTGAGCCACAACCCCAGCCCCAAGGTGGAGATTTTCTAAGAGGCTCAGGACAGGACCCCACTGCCCTGTTCTCTCCCACCTTGCCCAGAAGGACCCCTTACCGCAGATGGAGCCAGCTGCCACGATGAAGCCAGCCCAGCTGTAGCCCCGCCGATAGAAGGCATCAGCAAGTGCTGAGTCAGGGTCCAGACTGTGCCAGGGCACCATGAGGGTTAGTACGGTGGAGACGAGGATATAGGCACCAGCTGCCAGGCCAAGGGAGATGGCAATGGCCATGGGCACAGCCCGCCGTGGGTTCTGGGCTTCCTCACTGGAGGCAGCAATGACATCAAAGCCCACAAAAGCATAGAAGCAGGTAGCAGTTCCTGCCATGATACCAGAGAAGCCAAAGGGTGCAAAGCCACCCTCCTCAGCACTCCAGTTGTGGGGGCGTGCAAGGATGAAGCCCAGGATGATGATGAAGATAATTACCATCAGGCTGATGGCTGAGAAGGTATGATTGAGCCAGGAGGAGACACGGACTCCACAGGAGACAAAAGCAGAAGCTAGAAGTAGGATGCCAGCAGCCAGGAAATCTGGGTAGTGGGCCAGGAAGGGCACCTGCCAGACACCCACTTGAGACTCAGTGAAGTTGCGAATGCCATGGCTAAAGATGGCATCCAGATAGCCACTCCAGGCACGGGCCACAGCAGCACCCCCAATAAGGTATTCTAGGAGCACATTCCAGCCTATGAGGAAGGCCCACACCTCGCCCATGGACACATAGGTGAATAGGTATGCAGAGCCTGTGCGGGGCACACGTGCTCCAAATTCTGCATAGCATAGGGCTGCCAGCAGGGAGGCCACAGCAGCCACACCAAAGGACAAGAGTACAGCAGGACCAGCCATATTCTTTGCCACGGTACCCGTGAGCACATAGAGGCCTGAGCCTACCATGCCACCCACACCCAGCAGGGTCAGGTCCAAGGTGGACAGGCAGCGCTGCAGAGACGTCTCCATGCTGGAATCCTCCAGAGGCTTCAGTCGATTCAGCTTCTGGCAGAAGTGTGCCAAGCTAGCAGCATTGTGCAGTCCCCAGGCCATAATGGGTAGTTAAGAGGTGCACCAAACTAGCTACTGGAACCTAGTAGGGCCAGACAGAGGGAAATGACAAGTTGTTCAGCCAGGTACTAGCCAACCTTCAGTTCCTTCTGTACTGCCTCTCCTCAGTCCTCTTCTTATCTTAGCTCTGGAGACCTAGGACACCTGCATCATGGGCTTGCTGGAGGGTTGGGATGGGACAGGAGTCAGGCCAGAGGACAGGAGGTTACAAGGAAGCCTGGAGGTCCTGTCTGCCTTTAGGGCAGTGGAGGGGATAAGGCAAAGCCCCACATGGGTACCAGCTAGGTAGTCCCGAGGGTAGGGAAAGCCAGAGTCTGGGAAGAGCTCTGTGGTCTGAGATCCAAGAGCAAGGTGAAATGGGAGGCTTCCTGGGAGCTGGGCCAGGAAGTCAAGACCCGGAACAGGAGCAGCTGTGCAACCCGGGACGGGGCTCAAGTGACCACCTGGCCTCAAAGAATGGCAATCACCCCCCACTGGGCAGGCCAGAATATCAGTGGCTGTGAAGCTGGGGCTCCCTGGGCCCAGAGCTCCGGATCCGGAGCTAAGATCCGGTGCACCTGCTGGCGCTCTGACACTCGCGGCTGCCGCCACCGCCCCAGCCAACTGCGCGCGACCCTGTGCCCAGAAATCCGAGCTTTCCGCTGCTTTCCGCCCGAGCCCATCCGCACAAGACCCGAAGCAACCCACCTGCTGTCGCCACCACAGCCACCGCTCTGAGCTCAGTGCCCGCCCCTCTTGCTAACCCCGCCTGCGCGCAGGGCTCTCTCCCGCCCCCAGGCGCTGGATTCTACCAGCAGCTCCGCCACTCGCACTCTCTGGAGAACCCAGCACCGGGCTTTACCTGCCATTACACACGCAAATAGCCCACCCTACCTACACCTCACATGATCAATACCAGAGCTCACTGGGTTCTAGAGTATCTCTCTCACTGACACACCAGAGGAGGAATTCCAAGTCACCAGGTAAGTGACTAGCCGCCTTCACTGAGGGCCAAGTGACATCCCTGGGTAAGAATTCTACCCTGCTTCCACTGTACCTGATACCATCCTTGATCATTCAGCCCAAAACATTTACTCCATCCAGCTGGGCATCCTCCAAGCCCCCCAACACAAGATGATGTTTGGTCTGCATCTTTGGGCACTGTGAGATGTGGTTATGGATCTGGCTGAAGGGCCCTGACCTCTCAACTACAATGGGATGGCAGGAAGTCACCCCCCATGCTTTGACAGGAGAGTGCAGCGTTTTGGGAGTGTTCTATAAATTTGCAAAATTCACACTGGGTGCTCTGAGCCTCCAGCTACAGATAATGTCCTGTAAGTAGGCAAACATTCTCCAAAGGCAACAGGCAGTCCTCCATTGGGGGTAACCCTAGAGCCCCTCAGATGCCAATAGCAGCCTCTCCTCACCTAGGAGCACTTGGCAGTTTTTGAAGAACCATGGGGGACCATAATGGCAACCACCCACTCAAGAGTACTTTATACCATGAGAAAATCCATGTGTGTTACCATCAGACTCCCCTCAGGTTAATTTATTCTTGGAGCCAAGAGGTCTTTTTCTGTTTTCACTCATTTATTTGAAAATGAAAAAAGTTAATCCCAGCCTCTTAGAAGTCTGAAGTATGAGGATCGAAAGTTTAAGGCCAGCCTGGGCAAGTTAGAAGACCCTGTTACAAAATATTAAAAGGGCTGGGGTTCCTGGTGTTGTGGTGCACACCTGTAATCAGAGACTAGGGAGGCTGAGGAAGGAGGATAGCAAGTTCAAAGCCAGACTCAAAAACTTAGGAAAACCCTATCTTTGAAAAAAAAAAAAACGTGGGGCTGTAGCATAGTGGTAGAGTATTCCTGGGTTCAATCTTCAGTACAAAAAAAAGGAAGGAAAATAAAAAGAAAGAGAAAAAGTTAGTGTAATAAGGTATTTACTTGTTGCCAGCAAAATGATAACAACCCAGCCAAACCAAACAGAACCAAAGCAGGCATCTGCTCCCCACAAAAACTTTATATGTGTTTTCAGGTTGGATCTTACCCTGCTGCCTGTATAGCCTGGTAGACTAGTGACAGGATAGTGGACTCCCAGACAAGGTGATGCCCCTTGGAACACTCTGCTTTAGCAAACCTCCTTGGTCTATTCAAATATTTGCTGATTCTGTTGTCCTGAGGAACTGTTCAGATAGGCTCCCACTTCCTGTCTGATATCTCCTTTAACCCACTGCCATAATAACTGAGCAAATGTCCCTTGTCCCAAAATACCTCCACTTAAGTCTAGAAAAGTGTATTTCAGAACAAGAGACTTGAAAACTTTATAATGGAAGTTCCCCCAAGGGTTTACTAACAACCATGTTAAAGCTGGAATGCAGTTTTTGAGCAGTTTAACCACTTAACCACTGAGCCACATCCCCAGCCCTATTTTGTATTTTATTTAGAGACAGGGTCTCACTGAATTGCTTAGCACCTCAGTTTTGCTGAGGCTGGCTTTGAACTCGCAATTCTCCTATCTCAGCCTCCCAAGCCTCTAGGATTACAAGCGTGTGCCTGGCCTTCAGCTTTTTAAAAATATTTTACTTAGGGCCTTGCTAAACTGCTAAGTCTGGCTTTGAACTCGTGATCCTCCTGTCTGAGCCTCCAAAGCCTCTAGGATTACAGGCATGTGCCACAACGCTCGGCTCAATTAGATTTATATACTCTAGCAATGAACTATTCCAAAATGAAATTAAGAAAACAATTTTGTTCATATTACACTAAAAAGAATAAGATACCTAGAATAAATTTATTTACAAAAATACTAAGATATGCTGGGCACAGTGGTGCACACCTCTAATCCCAGCTACTTGAGAAGCTGAGGCAGCAGGATTGCAAGTTCAAGGCCAGCTTCTGCAATTTAGCAATAAACTGTCTCAAAATATAAATAGGGATATAGTTTAATGGTAAAGTGCCCCTGGGTTTAATCTCAAGCATCAGTGGGGGAAAAAAACCTAATAAATTTAACTAAATGTAAAATATGTACATTGGAAACTGTTAAATATTGTTAAAGACAGCCTAAAAAATGGATGTTCCATGTTCATAGAATGGAAGACTCTTCTTTGACGACTATTTTTTCCTTTTCTTTCATTTTGTTTTTTCATTAAGCAAGTGTTGTGCCACTGAACCACATTCCCAGCACATTCCCATTTTTGTTAAAATGGCAGTATTCTCCCAAATTAGTCCATAGGCTCAGTGAAATTCCTATCAAAATCCCAACTGCCTATTTTGCAGAAATTATTAAGCTGATCCCAAAGTTCATATTGAAATGCAATGGACCCAAAATAGCCAAAACACTTTTGAAAAAGAACAAAATTGGGGCTGGGTTGTAGCTCAGCGGTAGAGTGCTTGCCTGACATGTGTGAGGCCCTGGGTTCAATCCTCAGCATCACATGAAAATAAATAAATAAAATAAAAGGTATTGTGTCCAACTTAAAAAAAAAAAAAAGAACAAAATTGGAGGATTCACAATTCTTAGTTTCTAAATTGTCTACAAAGTTATAGTCATCAAGACTGTGGTATTGATATATGGGTAGACAAAAATTAATGGAATATGATTGAGAATCTAGAAATAAATCCTTAGGTTTATGAACAGTTGATTTTTTTTTTGAGAGAGAGAGAGAGAGAGAATTTTAATATATTTTTTTTAGTTTTCGGTGGACACAACATCTTTGTTTGTATTTGGTGCTGAGGATCGAACCCGGGCCGCATGCATGCCAGGCGAGTGCACTACCGCTTGAGCCACATCCCCAGTCCCAACCAGTTGATTTTTAAAAAAATATTTATTTACTTTTTAGTTGTGGTTAGACACAATATCTTTATTTTCTTTATTTATTTTTATATGGTGCTGAGGATCGAACCCAGGGCCTCACACGTGCTAGGCAAGTGCTCTACCACTGAGCCACAACCCCAGCCCAACAGTTGATTTTTTAAAAAATAGGTTTTATTTATCAGAGACATTTTAGTTTCATAGTAATACTGAGTAGAAAGTACAGAGAGTTCCCATATACTCTCTGTCCCCAGATACACAACTTTTTCCACTATTGATTTCCAGCACCAGAGTGGTACATTTGTTACAATTGGTGAACTTACATAGACACATTAATAAAAGTCCAAAGTCCATACCTCATATTAGGATTCATTCCTGGTGTTTCACATTCTATGGATTTAGACAAATGTATAACAATATCCATATATAATTATGGTATCATGCAGAATAGTTTCACTCGCCTAAAAGTTCTCTGTGATCTACCTATTCATCCTTCCTTCCCCTCAATCCTTGGGAACACCTAATCATTTTTATTGTCTCCATAGTTTGGGGGCTAGGGTTGTGGCTCAGTAGTAGAGCACTTGCCTAACGTTTGAGGCACTGGGTTCTGTTCTCAGCTCTGCATATAAATAAATAAATAAATAAAGGTCCACAATTTTGCCCTTCCCAGGGTGTCATATAGTTGGAATTATACAGCATGTAGCTTTTTCAGATTGTCTTTTTTTCGGGGGGGTGGGTATTAGGAATTGAACTCAGGGGCACTTGACTGCTGATCCACATCCCCAGCTTTGTTTTGTATTTTATTTAGAGACAGGGTCACACTGAGTTGCCTAGCACTTTGCTTTTTTCTGAGGCTGGCTTTGAACTTGTGATTCTCCTGTCTCAGCCTCCCCAGCTGCTGGGATTACAGGCATGTGCCACCATGCCTGGCTTCACATTGGCTTTTTTTTCCCCACTTAGTAACAGGCATTTAAAATTTCTCCATGCCAGGCTGGGGATGTGGCTCAAGCGGTAGCGTGCTCGCCTGGCATGCGTGCGGCCCGGGTTCGATCCTCAGCATTCACATACAAAGATGTTGTGTCTGCTGAAGAAACTAAAAAATAAGTATTATAAAAAATAAATATTAAAAAAATTCTCCCTCTCTCTAAAAAAAAAAAAAAATTCCTCCATGCCATAAGGCACAGTGGCACACATGTGTAATCCCCCAAATTGGGAGGCTGAGATGGGAGGATCCAAAGTTCAAGGCCAGGGGCTGGGGCTGGGGCTCAGTGGTAGAGCACATGCCAAGGCTCTGGGTTCAATCCTTAGCACCACATAAAAATAAATAAATAAATAAAATAAAGGTATTGTGTCCAACTACCACTATATATAATTTTTTTTTAAAGAAAGTTCAAGGCAGCAACAACAACCTTGTTTCAAAATAAAAAATAAAAAGGATTGGGTGCTGATTATGGTCGTGCACACCTGTAATCACAGCTGCTCAAAAGGGAGGCTGAGGCAAGAGGATCACAAGTTCAAAACCAGCCTCAGCAAAATCAAGGTGCTAAGAAACTTAGTGAGACCCTGTCTCTAAATAAAATACAAAACAGGGCTGGGGATGTGACTCAGTGGTTGAATGGCCCCTGAGTTCAATCCCTGGTACAAAAAAAAGTCTTTCATGCCTTTTTATAGCTTGATAGTTCATTTCTATATAATATTGACTAATATTTAATGATCTGGATGTACTATAATTGATTTACCCATTCACCTACTGAAGGACATATTCAATTGTCTTCAGATTTTGACAATTATGAATAATGCTGCTATAAACATTCATGTGCAGGCTTTTGTGTGGACATGTTTTCAACTAATTTGGGTAAATAACAAGAATGATTGCTAGATTTATATTGAGAGCATGTTTAGTGCTGGGGTTGTGGCTCAATAGTAGAGTGCTTACCTGGCACGTGTGAGGCACTGGGTTCGATCCTCAGCACCACATAAAAATATATACAAATGAAATACAAATAAAATATACTTTTTTTAAAAAAAAGAGTATGCTTAATTTTCTTTTTTTATATTTATTTTTTAGTTTTTTCGGTGGACACGACATCTTTATTTTATTTTTATGTGGTGCTGAGAATCGAACCCAGTGCCTTACCCATGCTAGGCGAGCACGCTACCACTTGAGCCACATCCCCAG